GCATGGTAACCGTTCGGCTACGCATGGTAACAGTTAACTAAGGTTGTGTCATACTCGATAAAAACATATATTTTAAGCACTGCAATTAATTCGCTTATTCACTACCGTATACCGGCAAAACCACAATGAATAAGCATAAAGACGGGTTCACACGCGCCTATCTAGCCTGGAGCATTACCAAGGTCTCAGGGTCTTGTAACATGTCAACGTCACAGAACTTTGTGAACGAACCATTACTTCAAGTCGCACAGTCTTTGTGCATTTTTTATATAACAGACGGGACTTTACTATGGCAAAAAATGTAAAGTGCTTTACGCTGTATTTTGCGTTCCTGGAAGTCTCACAACGAGTTTATGTTTTGTATGAGAGATATGAGACGTTGAGTGTTTCTGTGATCAGATAGAACCGTTATTATACCAGGTTGTAACCTTGTCGGTCGAATCTGAGGCCGAGGACCGTTCAGTGTGTTTGATCAAAATATCTTTAGTACACTTTGTCTACCATCAGTAATCGACAAAGTCAACTTTCGGAAAATTAACTTTAATATATCTGAAAATAAGTATAAATTGGACATAGGCAAACAAAAAGGATCCAATCCACTGTTTCCAGCTTGGCGGGAGATAGTCTTTTGTAAAATATTAAAAAAATACAAAAAACATAATGAACCCGTCCCGCGAACTAGAACGCTCAACAATTCCAAAAATGGCACCTGTTACTTAGAATATTATGTTATTGTGACCGCAACGAAAAAGACACCTGCCTTTCTGCTGTGTCGATTCCACGGTTGAACTGGACAAAAACATTCAAGCACTTATCATTGTCATCTTCTTCTTAAAATAGCTTTACGTCACTCGACCTAGAGCACTAAAAACATTTTTTTTTTTCGTTGACGGGATCATTTTTATGTGTGGCATTCAAATTCCTAATTCAAAATTATAACATATTCAAAGACTTAAATATGTTAATAATGTTCCTTTTACTGATAACCAGGGCCGGACTTAAAGATTACAATGCCTACCATATATATTTAAGAGGCCTAGCATTTTGTAAAAAAATAATTTACATTTGTTTTCTAAAAATGTTGATTGACCCTCGAAATTACAGAAATCCTAACAGATTACTTCTTTTTGAAGTACCAAAGATGAAAATATAATCAATTAATTAAAAAAAAATTTAAAAAAATTAAAATTATTTAAGACGAAATTATATGAATTCTTGAGGGATATATAGTATATTATAGTATTTGGCAATTTTTTCAATAATTATTATTATATAAAAAATGTAAATATATTTAAGTACCTGACTTTATATAATTTAATTTGACCATGTGTCGTCCAATTTTTTGCACGTCTATTTTATTTATGGCGAAACATGTTTGCATTCACTATATTACTTTGTTATATTGACCACCATGTTTGTAGCAAATAAATGATTTGATTGGGCGTTCTTAAGCCTAAGATATTTTTAATATTTTATTTATCGTGCTCCTCCAAACGTTGTGCGACGCTAGGCCGGGACTTAGGCCGTCTAATAGGAAATTAAGCCTGCTGATTTTCTTCTTACTGTATCAGTGGCATACACTATAATGCTAGCCATAGAACGTGGTGAAAGCATTTGCCAATCGACGCAAGGTAGTTGTCCAAGGTGCGACAGACGTAAAGGAATGGCCATAGTGATGATGATCATTTCAGAATAGTAACAAATAACAGATTCGGTTACACGGTTACTCTTCAATATTATGGCTGGTTACTTTACGACTTTATACTTACTAAAACGGAGGGAAAAATCTTTCAATAAACCGTGCTTTTTTTATAACATCAAGTGACGGGACGAATGAGTCGTGCGCCTGATGGTAACCTACACGCCTGTCCATAACAGTTGCAGTGCACTCAGAGCTTTAAATCACAAATATCTGAGGGGCACCGCCGCAATGGCGGGAGTCCGACACCCTGAGACATAAGTTGAGAAGTCCCATGTGCCTGTAATTTGACCAGCACCTTTACCCTTCGAAACAGGAACGCAGTAATGCTCACTTTACTGTTTGGCGGCAGAAATAGGTAAGGTGGCAGAACTTCCCTGGACGAACTCTTTCACAAAAAGTGCTTTTCTGCTACTGATCATTTCAGAATAGTAAGAAAAACAGATTCGGTCAAACGGTTACTATTAAAGGTTATGACTGGTTACTTTACGGCTTTACATTTCCTGAGAGCAAACAAAAATAAAAAACTTTCAATAAACCGCGAATATTCACAACTCATTTCATTCACGCGCTTACTTCTACTGTAATTGTTAACTAAAGAGCGCATTATACGGGTTTTGTTTCTTAATAACTGTGACCCAGAAGGAGGCAAGACAAATGTGCATGTTTTGCGGATGTTTTTTGCTTCGAGTTACTTAGTGTGTGTTTTTGTTTAAGACTACCGGGTAGTCTTGCGGCTTATTGTGCGAGGTGTTGTCTTGTTTATAAAATAAATTTGTGACAATCTTTCGCAATAATTCCGTATTGTGTACTACAAGTTATAATAATAATAATAATAATAATCATTTTTCTTTATTTAGACATGAGTATTAGATCCATTTGTAAAAAACAAGAAAAATGTTTCGTCCTTAGGGATAGGCTAAGGCGTATAAGTCATAATGCCAGATTTTAATTTTTATTCGAACTATGTTAATGAATTAGTAAATAAGAACGAATTTTTTTATAGATGAATGCTTCTCTTTAACGATTTAAATTTGACAATGAAATTTTTATTGTGTGCATGTTTTGATTTTCAATTGTTTGTGTGAATGATGAGAAGCATTATCAAAATGACTAACACGCATCTTGTGATTTATAATAATTTCTATATTCTACAAATTTTACGTTTTCAGATAGTTCGTAATAATCTTTAGGACATTTCATCGGACACCATAAGTGATATAAAGGTGCTAATCAGTGGAAAATTGAAGTGAAATTTATGAAATGTGAATTAACATAATACGAAAGGAGATCGTACACAATGTGTGAGTATGGATTATATACTAAAAAAAAAACACTGTGCAACATCACGTGTGTGCATGCTTTAACATGTTTTAGAATTATTATAGAATGTTTTAATATAATAACTCGATCCATTAGTGAATAGCTTTACAATATTACTGGACGTGAAATACAATTTGCAAAAAAATTTACTAACTCCCACCAAAACTCTTGTTTCTTGGTTATTCATCAATAGCGTGATCATCGATTCTTACGTAAACCACCACAAATATATGAGTAATCATAGAACATGTCTTGATGCCTTTATATATGTAAATTGTCAACAGTGAATAATAATAGTAAGACAACACTAAGGGGTATTTCATCGACACGAATTTCATCGCAGTCACCGAGAACGGATGTTTAACTTTCGTGGCAAAATACACTCTATTTATTTAGCTTTTACGTTTGAACTTAAATGAGTGTCCCGGACACGCTGGTAAGTCTGGCTTGAATATGGTCTACGCGGCGGCCCGCGCGACGACCGCGCGTGTGTGTTATTCAGAGGAATTAAAATGTTGTTGCCTAGTAAATAGAATTCAGATTTGCCATTAATGTACACGAAAGCGTGGTGACTGGGCGGTTGCCAAAACTTTCTCCTGGTGTAACTGGGCGCTAATGGTGTCAAACTAGGGAATTCCGTGTACTATGAGTACCAGAGCAACGGAATTCACTCTGGGGCACTTTCCAGAACATCCAGACCAGAACCAGCTTAAAAAAAGGTCATTCCCCAAAAATGTCCTACCGGGAATCGATGTCGGGACCTCCCTCCGGATGAGGACGACGCCGATTGTATAAACCGTTAGGCCAGCGCGGTCGTCAATTATATAGGATATTTGTGCGGAGAAACCGTCTTCCCTGTTGGAATTAGGATGTTTTTTTAATTTCCATGGTTTCTCGCAGCACCCTGGGTAAAAAATTGACTTCTTTTGCAGGATCTGGGGTTTGTCGAACTTAATTGAATGTCGAATAAACTCCGCAGTCTGCGAATATATCATTTCATAAACCCACATAATTGTGTTATAACAGTATATGTATATCGAGTTCTTACATTTTCGCGATTGTTTTCAATAAAACTTGGCAAATAGATCTTCTAATATTTTCACAAAGTTTTGAGTAAAATAAAAATTGTATTATTTCAGATTTAAATCACGTATATTTGCCAGCCGTGACCATAGGACCAGGAAAGAGTCCAAAGGTTGGTTTTTTAATTAAAAAAAAAAAAAACTTTACCCGATTTATTTCAATGTGTAGCAATTACGAAAACCTAAGAAGTCGATATGTAAAGGATATTTTCGGTTCAACCAAGATTTAACAATATATAATTTTGAATCTCAATCATTGTTTAACAATACTTTAGAGCATATAGGACTGGAGGCGTCATCGATAGGCAATCCCCTCTGTCAAGGTACAAGCACAAAACAACTATCGCACAATAGACAATACTTTCAAATCGATGTTCTTTCATCTCCGTTATCGAATTCACCGCGTCAAGTACTCCACGAAACATGTCGTCTTGCGCTATACAAACATGCAAAAAAATCCCTGCTGCATCCAGTCTAGCCAAGGGTGGATTTACATTCCGTACAATTTTTTACATTAATTGCTAATTTTCTGTTTTATGAAATTTTTTCACAATTGATTGATTCAATTTATCGATTACATAAATAATAAAATAAATATTTGAAAACATTCGAACATTTGACATAAGCATGCCTATGAAGTTCCCTATTTACTAACAGGCAACTATAGACAAAAAAGCAGTACTTCATGGACTGTTTTTTCGTCATAGAGAAGCGACGCGATCTTTTAGCTCCTATTTTTATCGACAGATTATCTAACAAAGTTTATTCAAATTGATTTGTCGGTCGTATTGTATAATAAACGAGTCCTGTACCCCACCTACGGTGGGGTCGGGCTCGGCCTGCGGCGCGTGGTCGGTTTCAGTTTACGAGGTGTGCTCAGCTCTTCCGTGGCACAGCAGTTAGTACTATGAGCGCTTGATGAGGAGGTTGGTTCCCGATTTGGGCCAATTTAAGAAACGAACATTTCTAAGTTGGTTTTGGTCTGAGTATTCTGGGTTATCGTTGTTTTGGTATTTATACTACAGGAAATTCGGCAGTAGTTTGGCATTTTTTCCCACTAAGTACTGGAAAATGAAATCTAACAGAGAGACGGTTGAGATACAACAATGCCTTGGAAGTATGCCTTACATTTTTACATGTGTGAGATCTTGTACTCGTAATCCATTACGCCTCCGTAAATTACCTCCATGCGATGGCGTGCAGACGCTTCGGGCTTCGCCCTCCTCGGACCTCGGCCTATGGCCTCTGCACTTACAACTTTGTTTCAAAAAAATTTAGATAGATCTTTAGTGGCGCCCATATTTAAAAATAGCGAAAATATATTTCTTAGAAATCTTTTCGTGCCAATTTTCAGTCCGAGCAAGGCAAGTTTTTACGACAGCTATTTACATAAAAAATTACGGCTATATCGAAAAACGGCGAAAACAAAATTTTTACCCCAAATTACGATTGAAGACAAGCCATTTTCAGTCGAATTAGAAGACATTTTTATCTATCGCCAAAAAAGCTTGTATGGCAGCCATAGCGAAAAATGGCGAAAAGTAAATTTTGACCGCTAATTATTATTAAACACTCATAGAGACCCCGACATGTCCATTTTCAATCGAATTAGAGCAAATTTTTATCTGCCGCTAAAAGAGTTTGTATGGTAGCCATATTGAAAAAAGGCGAAAAATAAATTTTGACCGCAAATTATTATCAAAAACCTATAAAGACCTCCAAATACCGATTTTCAGTTGAATTAGAGCTAATTTTTATAAACGCTTCTTTGGCGGCCATGTTCAAAAATGACGAAAAACCAATTTCGATCACAAATTATTATCAAGCACTCATAGAGACCCCCATATGCCAATTTTCAAAGGGATCTGAGCAATTTTTTTTCTGCCGTCACCCAACGCTTCTATGATGGCCGTATTTGAAAATGGCGAAAAACTAATTTTGAGCACAAATTATTATTCGGCACTTCTAGAGGTCTTCCTTTGCCACATGCCAATTTTCAGCCGAATCAGAGAAAATCTTCTTCGGCAGCTATTTTTAACGAAAAAAAAAACACTTATATGGCAGCCATATTAAAAAATGTAGACTTTTGTTCACAGTTGTTTGTAGACACAATTCAATTTTGCATTTGAGTGCACCTGTTTGCTTGTAGTACTACATCGACTCATAAGAAAGTACAGGAAGTGCAATTCGGTCAATGTATTTTAGATTCTTTTTGGTCAAGCGAAATTGTTGCACGTGATTGAGTACGAATAACAGTAGAGATGTAAAAGTGTAAGCTTAGACGCTTTTGAGTATGAACATAGAGTTGCATATGTATTCGGTTTTGTGATTTGATAGGTACGGTTTTTTTGTTAAGGATTTAGTGCTTATTGCATGTACTTTTGTTATTTGTGTTTAAATCATAAAGCAATAACTACTACTAAGTACTTAAGAGTGGTTACAATCGCGCGTCCTTAAAACGCGCAATTGCATCGCTACACTTGCGATTTATACTTATAGGCGATTGCATCGATGAAAACGTGCGATTGCGATTCTATCGCTTATAAATGACAAGTGTAACGATGCAATCGCACGTTTGTATCGCTGTTTAAAGTCCCGCGTAAGGGTAGACAATTAGTTATTGCATCGCGTTGGCATCGCGCCGTGTGTAACCGCCTCTAAGAAAGATAATTATATTACCCAGTTTTTAGTAGCAGTAGAGTTACTTGTGAAACAGTTGTGTTGTCTTGAGTCCTATGTATTGGAGTGAAAAGGACGACGCAAAGCCGAAATCAACCGATCGTCTTTTTCTAAAGCCCGATATGTAACGTACACATAAGGTCTAGGAATCAAGCACATTATCGCCAGTTACTGAAAACAGGGTTTTGAATAAAACAAAAATTAACACCACGATATTGTTAGTCAATTTCATAATTTAAATAGTAAGTAACTAAACAAATAATTTAATAAATTTATAAAGATATTTTTATTTAACTTAATTTTTTTTTTAAATAAGAAAATAAAAAATACTATGATCCCTAGACACTTTTGTTGTGTATCTAATCCAAACTCAGAGTGTAGTGTGCGGAAAGAATATTGAAATGATATATTACTGTAAGAGAGAATTTAAGATTATCATGTCTACGTACCATGACCAAGTTCTTAAAAAAAAACCTTTAAAAACGATTTTCACATTGCCCCATCCACGGCGCACGCGCTCTGTGCAGCAGCAAAACGCTGTAATAACACTTGCGTCGGTACGCTTTCCAGTAATTAGCTATGTACGCGTTAAGTGCCTACCTTTAGATCAAGATTGGTATGCCCTATAAATTTTAACTGCAGTCTATGTACCGATTATGAAAAAACGAATAAAGATGATGAACTCTAATTCATATGCAATAACGTATCGAGTTCTCATAGCAGGATTTCGCGATGACTACACATTGGAGATGAAACATCGTGACTATGGGAGCTGCACAGTAGGTGCTCTCACTTAGGTATCCACTATTTGTACTAAGTGGTATACAAATAGTGGATACCTAAGTGATATCTAAGTGAGGGTACCGACCCACTATGGGGAGATTGAGTAATTTTCATGTCATAAGTCTATAATCGTGATTTTTTTTGGATATTCTTCAATATATGTACTTTTAATTAATATACATTTTGTAGGTATTAACATATTTTTAATAACTTAACTTTTTAAACCTTTTTTAAACTGAATATTTTTAATAACTGGACTTAATAAAAAAGAAAGCAAAAGCAATTACAAAGTTCATACTACAAAATTGAATACTATGTGTTAGATAAAAATGTGTGGAAAGACGATATGGGTCTAGATTCTGCTCAAATTTGATTCAAAGTGTATTCAGTAGCATATAAGTTTATTTGAAAAGAGCATTCGCTAGAGATCTTTCTTC